TCGTACTTTCTTTTATATATATTAGATGTCTATTAGATGTATAAAGGTGTTAAACATGTATAATATACATGTATCTAGATGCACAACGATGCATATAGATGTATATAGTAGTTATATGTAGTATTATGCAACTATAAAATGACAATAATGTCATATCATCCTTACCACAAAGTACGATTATCATTTTATAACAGGCAGGCCGCCTGCAGGTAGTAAGTTGTTTTGGTTTCTTATATTATGCCTATTGTTGTAGCAGTGACCTGAATCACTATTTGCCATTTTATAATGTTTCAAAAGCTTATTGCATGCGTGCAAGATTCATGTTTGTTTTTATTGAATATCCATTATATAAGGTACACTTACTTTGCAAATCTTTGCAATATAAACAATTTCTTTTGATAATTACAGGTTTTACCAGCACAAACTGAGAAAAACATACCCGAAGAATCCCGGAGAAATCAGGTTTGCACAGTTTTTGTTCTTATAAGATGCCCTGGAGGTGCCTTATAGAATGACAGTTTGTCACTTTCAGTATAAATCTCTGATAATTTGTGAAATTTCCACTCCCACCTTATAAAATGTATATCGGGTAATCACCAAAAAAGTAAATTGTCTGGGCCACGATCTATAAGCCGTTTTTTTGGACTCTGGTCTGTCATATTATAAGAATGCGTTTTTTCTTATAAAATGCTAATTGGAGTTCCCTATATTGCTGTAGCGTTGAGTATCTGCATTCTATAAAGAATTTTCCCCGTGGAACTCCCATTTCATAAGGAATTTCTTATAAAATGGCGCCCCCCGGGTTCAGCTTAATATTGTAAGGGGGATCCCGCATCAATATGATATAATATAACACAATGATATATCACATAAATTCACATAATATATCAAAATATGTTTCGATATAATATAAAATATTATGCAATATAACAGAATATTGCATGATCATTCATCATGATCATTCATCTAGTTGATTGAAATTGTTCCTATCAATCGTGTATTGCGATTGTGAGGCAGTTTCTTGTTGTCGGTGTCATGGCATTTGCAATGTGTTGCAATATGTTTTCAGGTTTCTATCCAAGAAACTGGTTGGAGTGATTGCTTTAACCGGAAACCCGTACATGACTACATGTAAATTTAGTAGCCACCAAAAAAAGATAGGTAGCAAGTTATCACTAGTTTTGTAGAATTTATATGTCTATGTGATATATTAAGCATCTATGATGAAAATAGTAGAACAACACCATGTCCTCACGTTAAACCATTGATTCATGAAGTCAAATCTGTAGAAGATCGAAGGTCCTAATGTCAATGACAATGGATTTCTGGTGGCTTCCCAGCAGGTTGCAAAATATGTACATGCATTTACATTTACATATATATAATATAATATAATATATATATATATGTATATATTCTTTGGGAAAAACATGTGCCCCATAAGAAAAACACAGAACATATTGAACAGTATCCTGGGAACGTCTTTTGGCCCGTGTGCGTTTGCAGGTGTCCAAGAGGGAACAATTCTGAATCGCGGAGCCATGTGGCTATGGACAGCATTTAGCTGAATTCATTGTACAACATGCCACCTGGGCCTGCGAATTTTGCTTGGCACTCGCTTTGGAGTGCCGCGGAAATGCTGTTATGCATGCCAGCGCTTTGCAAATGCCATTGTCTCCAGAACTCAGAACTTGTGTCCCAAGCTTTCCAGCCTAGAATGGAGGATATGGTGGTTGCCTTTTTTTTCCACAACCAGAACACCACAAGTCAGCCGCTACATGTCGCTACAGGTGAGATTCATATCTCATAGCTGGTGCATCCTGCAAACTATCCCAGCCGCAGGCTTCAAACCAGTTCATTCACCATTTTCTGCTTTCAGAAAACCATCCTGGGATGTAGTAATCCTCAAATGGGTCGGTAGGACAGTTAAATCCTTCTAAAGCATACTAAAACAGTGGCGGCTTATGTCTCTATCTGGTTGCTCAATACATACAAATATATTGTAATAATCTAAGGCAGATTCTAGCTGCCCAATAGCCCCTGCTGTATGCATCTAAATGTAAGGCCCCATTTTATTCCAACCAATTCCTAGCTCACCCACTCACCCACTAAGTTTGTATGTTACGGTACACCTCATGGTGGGGCCTAGAGTTTCTTCATGATTTTGATGGTAAAAACACCATTTTTTCTTACCGCTTTAGTAATTTACATAGCTATGGAAGCCATGGCCCATTTTGTTGGATGAGTTATGTATATAATATTACCTTTTAAACTGGTGATGTTCAACAGCAAACTGCTAAATTGCCAAAGATTGCAGCACTGTCGCCATCATCTCCCATGGGTTGAGAATGGTTGAGGCTAACCATCTCTGTCACCTCTGGCGCTGGCAACAGCCAGCTGTCCACCACAGACGGGGGGCGCCGGCGCGTTGCGTTTTTGCAGCGCGATGACCAGCGAGGTCGAACCTAAACCTGAGTCGCAACCTCCTTTTTAAGATTCATTGAGTATAGGGGGAATTGTTTCGGCAACATCATAAAGTACGGCGGTTTTTGATATATGTTGATGTAAGCTACCGATCAGAATTCCATATGCATTTATGAAATTACAAATATATAATAGCCTGCCAGGGGGGTGGGGTACCCTGATCCTCTTGCAGGGCTGGAACAGATTGCATTGTTTGGGTTTTAACAGAAGCGCTCTGTTGAGAGACACGGATCCCAGTCTATCCCTTCGTAAGGTATAAATTGCAGATTATTGATACATATTTCCTTGATACCCCAAAATCCCAGTCACGAAAGTAAAGTAAATGCATAGTAATGGCACACATGCATAAAAACACACCATGTATGGATCGTACGGGTGCGGATTTTCCGCAGGCTTTGTCATTAGTACTCGTATTCATTGCTTTGTACAGAGCCACGTGTGAACCCTGAAGTGCAGATACTTAAGGAACCTTCAGATCATTTGCTGGCTGCTTTTGCTCACGTCACATACAGTGCTAAACAGCAAAAATGTAGTACGTCGCATTCTTGTTGAGACAAGTCATGCATGATGTTTGTGTATAAGTTCGGTTTTTGGATCCCGCCCAAATCTTGGATGGCATACTGCCCCGATCCAGATGTTTTTCACGGACTGGTGGCACAACCACCCAGTCACAAGTTTTGAGGTTTGCGTCGGGTGCGTCAGAGTATTGCTTTCCGGTTGCGCCGCTACCGCTCGGCTGGGACGGCAAGCTGATCCGAGCGCCGTTCAAACGACCAGCTGAGTGGTACAAACGAGATTCCAGGGGATTAATGGAGCTTAATTGGTTTGAACCAACCCAAAATCAGGTGGAATACAGTGGGGAAATAGTGGGGATACACTGATTTGTGAATTTGTCCCGAAAGGTGGCATTGACAATGCCACAAACTATTGGGGTTACCCCATTTTCCGACACATCCATTCTTCGTTGCCACTGTTGCTTGCTTAAACCTTTGCACCAACCTGGTGTCACAAGCGTTGGGCCTTGCCCAACGGTATGAGCGGTGCTCAATTTGGTGGTCCCGGCACGGCGCAGCCATTTGAATCTCGATGAGCCAATCAGATCTTTGCTTCGGACGATTCATATCGTGCTTGTTGTTAGTGGACGCAGCGCAGGTCTTACCCCATTGACATCCACTGCTTCGAGATATTTTGTTGACCCATAGGTTCAAAGAAGCATGAACTTCTAGCTGGATGTTTGTGGTTGCTGTTATCCAATCGTGATGGCCTGGGCCAATGATAGCATTGGCAATATTGGGTTGGCATCCCAGATATTTCATAACATGGTGGGAAAGCGGTGAAAAAGATACTGCTGTGTGGCACGATGTGACTCTCCGAGCTCTCGAAAAGTGAGTGTGTAAAAGACTATCCGCTTTGCATCTTCCGTTCACGGAATGGCTGCAGTCGGTCTGGCGCCATTCAAGTTGCAGAGGAGCGAAGTGCAGAAAAATCAGCGCCATGGAAGAAGATTCCACAGGCTGTGGTGTCTGATTTGCACGGTGAATTCATTGAACTCTGAACTCTTTGAGAGAAAGGTAGATAGACAATTAGAATAAATAGAATAAATTAGACCAGATAGACAACTATATATACTGTAGATTATAGATTGAGGCAGATATCGTTGATAGACCTGCCTATGTTGTAATTTTATGTAATTTTGCCTTTTGGCCCTCTAGCATCACAGTGGAAATTGGCAAGTAAAACATGGTGAACAGTAGGGTTGGCGAGGGCGGGCGACCGATGGCAGATTTCAGCCGTTGTTTTATATTTATACATTGCATATTATGTAATGCTCCCTCCCTAAGAGCAAAATTAAACTAAGCCGATCCAAAACTATGAACAAGGTATAACAAGGTTTTCTAGGGAGCAGTTGTCAGTAGGGTCTAAGGAACAAAGCCATTTTCCACCCACAGCAGCCCCGCTGTTCAACTGGGTGCCTCAGTGGCAGAAACGTAGGGATTTCATCTGCAAACCCCGCGACGTCACTGGAATGGTTAGGATTGGGTAGCCCCAAAGCAAATTTAGTTCAGGTATACCCTCTGGTAAACTAACATAACTATGGAAAATCACCATTTTTAATGGAAAATTCACTATAAATGACCATGTTCAATAGCTATGTTAAATTACCAGAGGGTATATATTGTAATTTACCCAGATGTCATGGAGAACACCACTTCAGGGATCATCACTGCTTTGGCTCAGACCGGAGCGAAAAGCGCGCCGGTGGCTGTCGCTATCGGCAGAGCCGAAAAGTTGAAACACCAAGCAGTTGTCATCACCCTTGGAACAGATGATGAACATCACTAGGAGCTTCACAACGAGATGGAAGATGATGTACGAAATCAACTTAAAACCAAAAGTACCATAATGAAACAGTACCCAGCAGCAGTTCTTAATGGGTATTTACCTACCAACATCTTACCATCAGCACCATTCTGTATCAGGGTGGCGCACCAAAGCCGTGGGCGGCCCTCCAGACGATGCAGGTTTGGCAGACGGTCTCTAGCAGCCGGCAGCGTGCCCGCAATGCGGAACGGATCACCAAGAAGCCCCTGGGACACGCGGTAGGGACCGGTGGTGGTGTGGCTCGTGTACAACGTACAGCTTTGTTGGTTGAACCATGTTGAACCAACAAAGTTCATGGCTTCAAATGTGGGAAAGCCTGGCTGCCATAAACAAGGTAACACGCCTCCTCAGTACCCGGGTAAAATCGATCAAAATTGAGCATTTGACCTGGTATTTACAGTGTTTTGTGTGTATCATCATTCAAGGTCCCGAAGTGCAAAAGGACGCAAAACTTGTGTTTCATCCAGAGCAGCGTGGCGGTCTAGTCCTTCTTGTTATGTCGGTAGACGAACTGGTATATGTATTCCCACAAGCGGGGATTAATGACTTTGTCATTTCTGTTTTTCAAGCAATGCGGCACGATTTTTCTTCAGCCACATCCAAGACCTATCTAGGACTTGTGTGCCAGCCCATTTGGCTTTGCCTTTGACTTTGGATTTCTTTGTCCATTCGGACTTTTTATGAACAACTGAGCGGACACTGAATCGTTTCCATCTGTACGAAGTCTTCGAAGCTTTTCGCCAGCCTTGACACCCATCAGTGTAGAGAATGGAATTTTTGTTGCAGCGGCCAAGAAGACCAGAAGAGACGATCTCTGTGGAGGACTCCGTTGGAGGCTTTCCATTGCCGCCGACTAGAGTCAAATCTGCTGGAGCCACCAATAACTTTCCTGACATGGATTGCAGAGCTGGAATTTTAAAAAATATTGGTGGGGACCAGGAAGGGCAATCATGAAGTTGATTTAAATGTGAACCCTCGTCTTCTATAAAGTAATACACATCGTTTTGATCAAGCAGATCCTAGGGGCCGTCACTTCTCTGCACCACACCGAGCACCCTGATGTAAAGCAGGAAAGATTTCGGCATCTTCTTCCGTGGGCGATCTTTTTTCCATTGTTGAATCAAAGAAGAAAGGCATGGGATTTGGGTCCAATCCTATTATAATGGATCGCACAGAGCTGCCATCGCACTCGACTTGCCCACGAAGTCTGAAGCTTTCACACTGCAAGCGGCCAAGACGTGCTTCATGTTGTCGAAGAGAATCATACAGGCGAGTCAAAGCTTTCATTCCGCAGCCGAGCAGCTTCGCTTGCCTCACAGTGCCAGGTGTCTTACCACTTCCAGTGTTTGTGTAAGCTGCCACTGCAGTATAAACTTGCTGAGGAGACAGTCCCCGGGATACACTGGGCGCGAAAACACTAGACTGTGTGAGGCAATTCATCTTGCAACGGCATTCTTCTGCTTTGCATTTGCGATAAACTTGCTTTGTCACTCTTTGCCACACGAACGGTTCGCTCAGGCGACCCACGTCACACGTGGGACAGCGGCTGACTGTCTTGAGGTAGCCCAACTTCTGCAAACGCTTGACTGCTTCCAGTGGACAAACATCGCAAATCCCTCCCTTCGTTTTCTTTTCCAGAGCTGCCTGTTTTTTCTTACCGGCAGAGTTTCCCGAGTATGCCTTTCTTTGCTTTTTGTCCAATCTTTCTTGCTCTTTCGGTTTTCTTCCTGCTTGTTTCTGCTTAACTTTCAACTGTCGTCTCATCTTGCGAAATGCCTCCGCTCCAGGCAAATTGCAAGTCAGCACGGAGTGGCCTTGTCGACCACATAATCCACAAGCCATAGCGGCAAACCGTGGCCACGCACTTCATTCAAGGGATGGCTTTGGCAACTTGAGCCTCAGCCTTCTGACAGACACATGCAATCCACGTGACAGAGGATCTTTGACACTGCGGCTTTCAGAACAAGTATATATATATATACAGATTGTTGTATATAAAGGTAAATATATACACACACACATATATATATATCATCATAAAGATATAAACATATATAGATTTAATATAAGTCACAAAGTTCAACGGTGAGGACATGTCAGCAAGATGCCAGATTCAACGGCGGCAGCGCATTGTTTTTTTGCATGATCAAATTTGCCAATCACACACATCAAATGTGCAAATCAGCGTAACTTTTCCACGTTTCAGCAAGAGAGGTTTGGAATCGAGTCATTTCTAGTGTTTCTCAACTTGAGGACCGTGCTGCAGCTGGAAGCAAATGTGCTGCCGCATGTCCTTCTGTGCTCTCAAAGCCGCCTTTGGCAGGGCATCCAAGGATCCTCTGTACGCATGCCCTTACCAACATGTTGGCTTTCCATTCTCTAAACGTGTCCAAAACTTGGCACATCGAACCCAAGATTCACCGGTGTTTGGTCCTGATTTCACCAGGTGCAAGCGAAAAGGGACATTATGAATTGAGCAAAAGCCATATTTGTGTGCACGCTTCGGGGCAACATAGGCCTTCAGAGGACCTCGCACAGCGCTGTTGCTTGAGCTGACTGCATTTGGCACGGGCTCACTCTCTGAGATCGGGTCATCACGGCCAGATTCACTCTCACTGGCGACGTCTTCTTGAG